ATATATATATATGTATGTATGTTATATATAATATTACGTTCTCTGACTTCCGAAACTGTTGTCTCACTTTCTTCAATCAAAAATCTAGTTTGTCATGTGGGTTTTTTCTACATATATACATATTCTTTATTATACACATATATATATGCCAACATATTACATTATCTATTATCTTCGGATATATATCATATAATACATACATATCATATATCATATATACATATATTTATTATACATATATTATAATATACTATATATATAGTATATATATATATTATATATTATATAAATATATATATATAATACTATATATTATATATTATACATATATTATGAATATAATATCTATGTACAATTAATATACATAGTATAGGTAACTACTATATGATTATATATTATTATATATAATACTAATATATATACATATATACACCACACACACACACACACACACACACACACATAATCATATATATAGTATATATTTACAACACAATATACATATAGTATACAGAAGTAACACACAAGCTGATCACTCCCCCACACAGTCCACCACTCACCCGCCATCAAGTCCTCCCCATTCCCCCCTTATCAAGCATCCCCCCCTCCCCCCACAGTATCTCCCCATCCAACCCCCCCACCCCCCACCGAGTCCTCCCAATCCCCCCTACGAGTCCCCCATCCACCCACCCCCAGGAGTCCTTCCCATCCACCCACCCCCAGCGAGTCCTCCCTACCACCCCCACACCTCACCGCGTCCTCCCCCATCCCCACCCAATCCCACCCCTCCAAGGCATTGTCCTCCCCATCCCACCACACCCACCGAAGTCCTCCCCCCCAACCAATCCTCCTATCCCCCGCACCAAATCCTCCCTAGCCCCCCCACCAAGTCCTCCCTTATCCCCCCAGCAACCCCATCGAAAGTCCTCCCCACCCACCCACCTCCACCGAGTCCCCCCCATCTTCACCCACCCACCCACCCAAGAATTCCTCCCCATCCACTCCCCACACCCAAGCGATCTCCCTCCCCACCCACCCACCCCCACCCATCCTCACCCATTCCCCCCACCAAGTCCTCCCTTATACCCCACCAATCCTCCCTATTCCCCCCCACAAGTCCTCCCATCCCCCCAACCCACCCACGTATCCTTCCCCATCCACCCCTACCCCACAATCCTCCCATCCACCCACCCACTCCCCACGGAGTCCTTCCCCCCCCACCCCACCACCCCCAAGGATTCCTCCCCAATCAACCCCCACACCCAACGGACTCCTCCTCCACCACCACCCCCCATCCGAGCTCCCCATTCCCCCCCATCCTATCTCCCTAATCCCCCACAACCCACCAAGTCTCCCCATCCACCCACCCACCCCAAGATTCCTCCCCACCCACCCCAAAACACCCCACCGATCCTCCCCATCCCCCACCGAGTCTCCCCATCCCCCCCCACCAAGATCCCTCCCCCCCAAGTCCCATCCCCTCCCCACCGCTCTACCTCCTCATTCCACCCCCCCCACCAAGATTCCTCTCCCATCTCCCCCCCAATCCCCCCCCCCTCACCACTGAGTAGGAGGTGCTAGCTTCCCATAACATGAACAAGAGGACAATAAGTCTCTTCCTCCCGGCGAGTCAATAGGGTGCCTCTTAATCACTAGCGGGGCACCGTCAAATACATCGCGAGACGAGCTTCACTCCTCACCCCGCCTCGGCATCGCCCAGCCCTGTACTCACCGCCCAGGTTGCTCGTTAATTAGTACATCCACGTGACACTCAGCAGTGAGGTCCGAGGCCACATCAAGGACCACCCTAACGGCCGCCCAGACAACTTGATCATTATCCCTGACTTTGAAACAATGCTTCTTGTATTACATTACGTTCGAGGAAAAAGCTCTTCGATCTTTTGGAAGTTATCAAGGTCATTTTTCTTCTCTTTCTTCTTTTTTCTTCTTTTGCTGACGTTTTTTATCTTTCATATTGTATTGCCGGAGTACGTGCACTGAAGTACCGAAAAGCACAATCTGATTAACAACGAATATGTTGACATCACGAGTACATCTCATTGCTTTCATTATACCCCACGTTAACACTTCGGCTCATCGCTTCCCCATCTTCTCTCTCTCCTCTCCTCTCTATCATCGTCTCTCTCTCTCTCTCTTCTTTCTTCGTCTCTCTCTGTATTCTCTCTCTTCTCTCTCTCTCTCTCTCGCTCTCCACTAATACACTATAGTATACATACATACATACATACATTACATTCGGCTGTGTGTGTGTGCTGTTGTGTGTGTGTGTGTGTACGTGGCGCGCGTATGTTGCTACCACCACACACAGCACAACCACACACACACACATCA